TCTGAAAGAATTCTTTAAATATTCCAATTATTAAAGAAATGACAGCATTTTGAATATTTTGATTTATGTACACTAAATTTAAACACCATTATGCAGGTCCTGACAAGTCCTTTTGATAAAACCTTTTCCTCAAACTGACCTCTAGTCCGTTAAAGAGTGTTACTCCCGAAATAGCACATCACTGCCTTACAGATTAGGTAGTCTTTCGGGAATGTATGGTTATACTGTGCCCAATAGCGGCAATTCTGGGAGTAAAAGGGAGGGGCGTTTAATTTTGGACCAATTATTGCAATGTTTGGGATTGTATACCTGTGGGTTTTAAACACCTCTAACCGTAAACTGTTTTTCATCAGAAAAACAAATGTTTCTCACAAAATTCAAGCCTTGAGAAGAATCAATTTGATCCAATGCCCAGATACAGAACTGCATTCGCTGTTCGCAATGAACGGGGGTTAGCAGTTGAACAGCTCTGTACTTGTATGGATGGAATTTGTGTTCCCGAAGGATCCGAAGAATTGATTTTTGGGAAATATTGAAATCCAAAGCCATTGTCTCGAAGAAATGTTTGGATTCTGAACTTCTTTGAAAACATTGTTTGCGTTCTCCGGAGAGGTGGCGGTCTTCGGCCTACCAGGACGTGGTCTGTCACCAAGTATTCCTATGCATGACGGGAATATGGGGGAGGTTCATTTTTGACCAATTTTTTGCGTAATAAAGCATTAATTTTGCTTACCTAAGGTTTCAAATTTAAGCCTTAATGAGGTGACCATTGTTGTAGATGGTTGACTTGAATTAGGGTTGAGTGCCGCATAAATTGCAACAGTTTGCGCACATGATTTGCCACCGATTTTCAAATAGTTTTCACACTTTTCATTGCTGCAACTATAACTATAAGCAATTTTAAGGATTTTAACCTTATCTTTAATGCCATAAACATCACTCATCTTTGACCACTAATTCACAATTCAAGAGATCATAAAGACATCAATATTTCATTATTATATTGTTATTATAAATCATTTGATATTACAAAATACGAGGAAAACTTACATAAAATTATCAAAACTATGAACAAAACGATGTGTTGATTAAATACTTAATAAATAGTGAATTAATTAAAATTATCAAAATATTAGACACAATTTAGTGATGAGACAGACTTTGCTTGTCATTAAAATCATGTGATTTTGTACTCAAAGATGTATTTCGAAATCAATTGAAAACTTATAAAAATACTAAACTAAATGTAGTCAAAAAACACGTGCATTCACTTTAAACATGTTTTTAAATCATATGACTACCATTTTGTCATATACTGTACTTATGCATATCCAGGGGTTTATATTTGTTTAAAAGCTTATCACATGTTTTGTAGGTATTTCTCTATCCGCAGACTTAATCCGCTCCTGTAGTACTGGAAAAGTTTGAGAACTTATCATAACAAATGAGTGCAATTGAGTACTAAGTCTAGAGATTAAAAGGGATTAAACAATTGAAAAACATTTGGCGATTCACTTTGAGTGCGAGTCAGCCCTCAATCATCGCCCGACAAGTCCTCTCTGTTGTCGTTCTTCTTCGGGCCCTTCTTTTTGGCACTTTTGCCGTCACTTCCTGTCTTCGCACACAAGGCTTTGCAGGAACTCCTCGTCCATAATTGAGTTGATACTTGGGTTGCATGTGGTTTAGTATATGATAATAACTGAATTGAAACAATTAATTCACAACTATAAGCATGGTGTGTTGAAAATTTGACGAAATGATTACACTTTTCATGTGACTTGTAAATATGATCATACAATAGATATTACACTTTGATACATGTCATATTCTGTAAAAGTTTCTAAAATTAGATAAATATCTGATAAATATTTCAATGAATACTTTACTTTTAGTATTTTATTATTCATAAAAGAGTAAATAATTACAGATTGGTTATATAGTATATAATAACCAATAATAAACAATATAATAATAAATCCTACACTACCATAAATCTTATTTTTAATTTAGATTACAATATGGTAAATTCTTAATCTAGAATTATGTATACATTTGAATACTTGTTTAGTATTATCCAAGAATTTCCCTAAAAACGGGTCCAAAATAATGCAAATACTCTTCGACTCCGTTCTCGACTTCGATGGCACTGATGAGCTGTAAGTCTGGCAACGAGTTCATCAGGTTTGCCATCTTTGACTTCGACTGCCATTCCCAGTGATATTTAATCATAAGATAGCGCTGAAGCAAATAGACATACATTTTCTGCTTGGCCCTGAAACACAAAAATTAAAAATATTAATAACACCCACATAATTACAAAATAAAAACTTTTAATTCTGGACTTACATAACGGCTTCCCTGTTAACCATATTGGGACGGTTAGGATTAAACAGCACTATAGCCGACAACTTTTAAGCAAACAAAAAAATTAATTAATAATTAGATTATTTTTAGCTAGTATAAATTGTATACCAAGTCCAGAATAACAATGTCCTTGTTCCATTCGGGCAGCATTTTGTTGAAGTAATTCTTATACGAGTTATACAGGTCTCGCTTTTCAGGTATCAGTAAATGCATGGGAAATACGAATGAGTACTCGTCGTCCTAATCATAAATTCACAAACAATTAGCAAAATGTAAAAATTGTAAATAATTTTTATAAATTACAATATATTGAGTCCAGTTTTTAGCATGCTCATCATAGTAGATGTTAGCTCGCAGTACAATCAGCTCCATTGAGCTGTACTTGACCAGGGCAATCTGGTCATTGTGGCAAATGTTTGAACATTGTGTCAGACTTTTCGTAAATTTGACTATATTTTGAGTGTCAAACTCAATGCGATTGCCCCACAACTGGTAAAACTGGTGAATGGTCTGCACCTTAATGTACTTCTGGGTCGACGGGTTCCTAAACACCGCGGAGGCCAGGGATAGGTCGGTCACCCACTTATACTCGCCGTCCGACCACTCCTTGTATGTGTTAATGGGTCGCAGCAAAGGAGTGATGAATTGGTTGAATACATACTTCTGGTTCATATCAATCGGTGCGACATCCATGCTATCATTGATGCACTTATTGAGTGCAATCACGTCTTTGTAGATCTTTTTATTGTTTTCAAATATCTTGGAAAACATGTCAACCGACACACCATTGATCTCATCGGATTGATCAGATGTCGAGGAAGTCTTCGCCAATTTGTGGCCATTATTTCGCTTTCGTTTGTTCTCTTCGATGGCTATTCTTCTCAACTCTTTTTGTTTGTCATTTTGAATGAATTCCTAATTGTTTTCAAATTACAAAGGTTTTAGATTTGTTGACACTTTTTATAACATTTATATGAAGTTTGAAATACATTTACTTTTTTCATGCCAACCGACAAACACTTATCTAATCGACATTTTTTGCATAACTTTTTCGTTGTGAAATCAATGGTACAATGGTTGCCAGAATTGCATTTAAACACCTATTTGTTACAATATATTACCTTTAAAACATATTTTGCAACCTAGCTATTTTATAAATACCTTATTTTTCAACGAGTTTCGCCTAAAAAAGGCTTTACAAGACTCGCAAGTAATAGCACCGAAATTTCTGCCTGTTAACCAATTAAAATTGCATTTATAGACTATTTACTACATTTCAAAACACGGTTTCTAGGTCAATTAATAACATACCGACTCCCTTATTGCCACATATCTCGCAGATTTTGTCCGGACTCTGATTCCGCATAATTACGTGAATCCAATAGTTTATGCAATCAAATGGCGATTCCTATTGAACTGTTCACTTGTTATCAGTATTTTTCTCAAATCAATTAATTTTGCCTTGAACTTATTTTAGTTTGCGTATAATTTGCTTATTTTCACTGCCTATTATTAACGTAATGATTATACATATGATGTCTTTGAATACCAGGAATAAATTCATTTGCGGTTATATTTAGTTTAGTTAATAAGCAATTAATTAATTATTATTAAATAAATTAAGACCAATAAAACCAATAAACAAACATTTGGACAAATATTGTATTACGGATTTGTTATAGACATGCAAACTAATTATACAATTGCGTTATACCTTTTATTAAATATCAACTATAGTGTAGCTGTAACTGTGAGTCCATTAGTAGGCATAGAGATTATCACCTAGTATAAAGTGGTATCTTATATTGTGATACCTGTTAGTCGGCTATAGCTTTGATGCTAAAATAGGTACTATGTGTACTACTGTCCCTGACATTAATTACAGAATATTACGGATGATTTAAGTAGTTTTAGTTTTAATGACGGTTTTATCAGCAATTTAATCAAATATTACTAATAGTAAATGAGTCCATAATATTGAGTTAAAATGTATAGTTCGTTACCGTGAGGGAGTGCATTAATTATCTTATTGAATGATCAAGTACATTTTTTAGTTAACTGTCTCGTGATTTAAAAGATTAATAGTTTTTAACTTATTATCGTATATAATTGCTATGCTCTAATTACATAATGCTTTCAGCTAGTCGACTACCTTGTTTTTGAATATTAAGTAAATTTTTTAATAATCTATCAATTTTATTATATATTAACATACGGTATAATAGAATAATTCACTAGGTATAAATAAATAAATTAAATATAAATTAAAAAGCAGTATAAATAAATTTAACAATTCGAATTGTTTTTTAAAATATATTTTCTATCAAGGTGCTTTATCTATAATATGAACTCTATTAGGGGATAAGTATTGATAATATTTAGTTTGAATCCAAATGCTTATGATATGAATGGTGTCTATTAACCAAATGACAAAGTCTTTGCCATTTATGCCAAACCATAGACTAAACAGTCCTCCAGTATATGACATATAGTCTGTCAAAGACATCACCGGTTCCTCCCGATAGACATACAGGGGTTGTGTTGAGTCCCAAACCAATGACGTCTTGACAGACATCTGATCCACACTTAAGTTATACCAGAATTCGGTATCAATTTGTGAATCACTTGATATGACTCTCGAGTTGTACTCAACTGTCAGACAATCTTTGGGACAATAATCCACACATTTTGCGTTCATTTCGTCAAAACTTTCTAATTGTTTCAGTTTATTATTATTAAGATTATATAAACAGAAAGTTAGGTTGAAATGTGGTTCAAAATCCAATTCATGTAAATAATAATCAATGAAAAGTGGATCGCATTTATGAATCATTTTATAATAACTCCTTTGATAACGTCTCATACAATGATTGTATGATTTGGCACCAAATGGTTGTCCACTCGAGCCGTCATAATAACTACAGTTGCCGTGAGGTCTGGTTAACAGTGTTTTCAATGTTTTACTTATTAGTATCGTATTATTTATTTCATTAAATATTAATTTTTCATTTTCTAAATCATTAAATCGTGGATATTTGTGTGTATGTAACAGGATATTATCTAAATGGTTATTTCTTAATGGTTGATATATTGACAAAAAGTTTTTACTTTTCGTACTAATGATTATGTTACCCACATAAAATGTCTTCAAATGATAGATATATTCTGGATTAAGTGGGCCATTATAATAGCTGTTCATTGTTTGAAATAATTTAATACTTAATTTGCTTTTCCCTATAAAATAATAACCATCATATAAAGCATCAAATAATGCTTCATTAAAAGTCTCGTTATGATTACCGTTAGCAAGATTGTAAGATTTTAAAAATTTATATATTACAGGGTAATCTATTGGAGAAAAATACTTCACTTTTACTAATGAAATGTACGGATAATTATCGTCTGATTCGTAGGTTTTGGCGTCAATTATAATACGAGATTCAAAGCGGAAGTAATGCTTTGATATGTCGTATAATTGGTGCACAAGTATTGCCGTCAATACTGCCAATAATATGCGCTAAAAATATATAAAAATAATTATTATACAAGAAAATTTAATTTTAAAACTAACCTTTGGATTAATTTTTGAAAAAACATATTTTACACTATTATGTAATAAAATTTTTTTAAAAATAGATTTAAATTTTGTAAATCTATTTGTATGAATGAATGCAATGAAATCCATGAGTAAACCAATGAAACTGATTCCATGCCATAGACTCAATGTGTTGGCTATACTTAACACCAGATCTATGAATAGGTATTTCGCTGAATATATGATCGATATATAAAAATGTTGGTTTACTTGAAATTTTAAATTGTACAGAGCCATATTAACATTTGGAGTTAATAGTTTAATCATATGATAAGTAAATATATTATCATTACATGAGACAGGACATTTAAATTGGCAAAGTTTAGTTAATTTTGTATTAAATTCACTTCCATTATTAATGTAGTAATTTTGACAAAAAGTAACATTTGGTTGAATGTATTGATTGTGTATTTGAATGGTTAGTAAACTTTTATATTTGGGAATACATTGGAAGTGATTCTGATATGACTTTTCATAGCATTTGTTTAGACAATGAAATTGTGTTTCATTCCCAAAATACACTTCCGGTTATTAGTAATAAAGTAATTAACTTCATGGAAGTGATTCTGATATGACTTTTCATAGCATTTGTTTAGACAATGAAATTGTGTTTCATTTCCAGAATATTCTTCACATTCAGTGTCATATGGTTTCGGCAGTCGTTTCAATGAATATCTTATTATTTTGATTTCATTTTTCAAATTCTCTTTGAAGTTAATTACTTTATTACTAATAACCGGAAGTGTATTTTGGGAATGAATTATAAAACTTTTCCATAAATAGTTAAATTTAAAGCCAAACATAACATTATCTTCCTTAAAATTAATACTATATTTAAATTCATTGATTGTTTCATTTGGACTGAAATTCGTCAAAAATGTGTTACATTTTCCAAAAGGAGATAATATTCTTAAAGTAGGTCTCGATTCGTGGCATTTGTATTGACTGTCGATATCACAGAATATATGACTCGAGTAGAAGTCTAACTCATTGTTAGCCGACTCCACAATATTCTCATTAATTGTCTGCAAATTCTGTTTGAATTCTTGGTGTGAATTGACGTCAAGATATTTATGCAAAAACTCAATGTATTGTTTTCTATTCATTAAAGTATTTAATTCATCCTGTTTCAAAGCATGAGATATCATATTTTGGGATTCTATAGAATCAATAATATTAGAGTAAGAAAAACGTCCAATTAAATAATTAATATTAATTTTTGTTATATTTTTAGTATGGTTGTGATTAGCTTTTCCAAAATGGTTTTCCATATATTCTTTATATTCCTGTCTAATATAGGGATCAAACAAAATGTCTTCAAACGTGTGTTCAAAGCATAAAGTGATGGCAGGAATCGATTGCAACGATATTTTGTTATCAATTCCTTTGTATTCAATCATTTCAATAGAGGTTTGCGTTGAAAATGATAAGTATTTTGAGATTAATGTATAGATTTGGTAACTAATTATCGGTAGTGTTAGNTTGCAACGATATTTTGTTATCAATTCCTTTGTATTCAATCATTTCAATAGAGGTTTGCGTTGAAAATGATAAGTATTTTGAGATTAATGTATAGATTTGGTAACTAATTATCGGTAGTGTTAGTAATATCATCACCTTTCTCAGTTTATGTGTTAAAAGTCTTTTAATTAATTTTCTTATATATTTTACGATTTTCATTATAAATGATCTTACTTCAATTCTTATATATTTTGTGATTATACCCTTTATATAATTTAATATAAGTCTAATGAGAGCACTGGTGTCTATGAAAGACATCCCAAACCACAAACCTATGAGTCCTCCGATGTTTGACAGGAAGTCAACGAAAGAATACTTTTTGTCTGATTTGTAGTGAAATTCTGGACTCATTTGGTATTCAATAGTAATTTTGCTGTCATTTTGTGCCGAATATTGATTGTCTT